CAATAGAGTCTGTTGGCTGGAGACTTCAAATTGAATCCATGTATGGGCCGAAGTGGCGGTTGTTCGGATGCGGTATTTGTATACCCTGCACTAAAGCTTTGTAGGTGAAGCTTTGCAAGTGAAGCTTTGAAGCTGAAGCTCTGTAAATGAAGCTTTTGAAGCTAGGGCTTTTGTAAATGAAGCTTTTTGAAGCTAGAGCTCTGGAAATGAAGCTTTTAAAGCTAGAGCTTTTGTAAATGAAGCTTTTGAAGTTGGAGCTCTGTAAATGAAGCTTTTGAAGCTAGAGCTTTGTAAATGAAGCTTTTGAAGCTAGAGCCTTTGTAAATGAAGCTTTTGAAGTTGGAGCTCTGTAAATAAAGCTTTTGAAGCCAGAGCTTTTGTAAATGAAGTTTTTGAAGCTGATTGACATGAGTGATGCTCATGAATGTTTATGTTGATTGACATGCGTGATGCTCATGGATGTTGACATGAGTGATGCTCATGAATGTTGACATGAGTGATGCTCATGAATGTTTATGTATGATTGATATGAGTAATGCTCATAAATGTTTATGTATGATTTGACATGAGTAAGGCTCATGTATAATTTGGGAGTACTGGACGTACTTTTGATCACCTGGTTGGTGGTAATAGCGGCAGGTTGCTGAATAATATTGGAGTATTGGGCGTATTTTTGATCACCTGGTTGGTGGTAATAGCGGCAGGTTGCCGAATAATTGTGGAGTACTGGGCGTACTTTTGATTACCTGGTTGGAGCTATTTTGGGCTTATGGGCCTTCGCCCTCCACACAACATTCCAGCCTATTTATTTTGGGCTTTGCCCTTTTTTTTTTTACCCTCTGATGGGGTTTATACAGATGTCTCCGAAAGATAAGAAAAATAAATCACATCATACATCTGCCAAGAAAAGTAAATCACATCATTCTGGTGGGGTGTTTATTCCTTGCTTTTGCTTTCTCTTTTGCTTTCTGTTTTCTCTTTTGCTTTCTGCTTTTGTTTTTTTGCTTTGCTTTAGCTTTCCACCGCACTCTCTCTGTCTTTTCACCTGGCAGACAAAAGGAATCGTTATAGAATTAATAATAGTAAGCTTTTCTTTATCTCCCCGCTCCTTGCTTTTGCTTTTGCTTTCTGTATTCATTTTCTTCCCTTTTTTCTTTTTCTTTTGCGTTGTCCCTTTCTTTTTTGTTCACTACATGTTCTCCTGCGTGAAGTTATCATTGGAAAATTGGGAGATTGGGACACTGAGGGCAGCTTCCTGGGTAGTGAGCTTAGCTTCGTCTTGGCGGACCCATTTTTTTGGGGCTTTTTATATTGCTCGTATGAATAGAAATTGACCGAAGAATAAGGAAGACGATGAGCAATTGTCACCAGCTTTCCTTTCCAGAAAGCTCTAAAACCTTCTTCACTAGCAATTCTGGAGCGTCCTCACGAGCGTCCGCACGCCACCTTCAACGGCCACGCCTCCATGGCCGGTATTCAGAGATCTCTAGATGTGCAATAACTTGTACCTTCCCCAGTTTCTTCCAGGATTGGATGCTTCGACAGATTCATGGCTCCTAGAACGACTTCTCCGAGACTTCGACAATGATCACGACCGGCGGCCTCTGACTGGTGAATGAGAGTTGTGTGGTGAAGCAGACCTTATTTCTCTTGGGTGTGGCATCTTTGGCTGTGGTCGGTGGAATTGCTGAGCCAACTCGGATGCCTTAACTCGGCGAGAGGAAAACTGCCTCAGATCCGAAAGGGGAGAAAACGTATAAACAAATGCAATTTAGATGATGCTTTCTCAGTTCCCACGTGCAAGTAGAAGAATCTCTAGCATTGAGGATGGCTTTGCAATTAGTGTAGGGAAGCTGGATCTTTGAAGGATCAACGCTGTGAGGCGCAACATGGGGCAGAGGGGGTGGAAGAGGAGGCGGAGCGTGGTGACTCCTGCGTCCAAGGTCAGGATTTTTCCGCAGGTGGCGCAGTGGACCTCTCCTCCGGCTGGGGTTCACGACGGTCTGCGATTGCAGTGGGACTGGCCGAGGTTGATGTTGCTGCATCATGGTGGAAATAGCATAAATAGAGACAAGCCTTCTCTAAAAGAAGCAAGTGCAAGTCCCAGGAAAGCAGCTACCATCTAATGTCAAAGGATCTTTGCTTGATTCGATGAGGAAACAAGTTGATCCATAGATGGGAACAACGGATGAAAGCCCTTATGGTGCTGAATGAGAGCTTTGATCCTCTGTGGGTCAAGGGGCAATGAGGATTGTGGTATTTGGCGCATCATCACTGATGTAATGGTAAGACTTAGGACAAGGGAGGAGAAAAAATGGTGATTTTCTGTGGTGGAGTTTGTGACTCTTTTCATCTTTCTCTGTGTAGATTGAATGAGTGTGTCTCTGAGTGTGGGTGTTGGGTTGTTTGGTTCTTGGTTTCTGCAGATTTTGCAGATCCACGGCGGAGGTGAAAAAAAAAATGAAAAAGAATCGACATAACTTTTCGTATCGATTCCCACAGACGGCGCCAAATGTTGATGCACAAAACCAGAGGTCTTGGAACAACGTAAATCCGGCTATGAATCTGCAAGAAACGTAAATACCACAAGATGTATCATGGTTCACCCCAAGGTTTGAGCTACGTCCACACTGATTGTATTTCTTTGAGAGTATTTGTGAGGGAGAGAGTGTGAGAGCTTTGCTCTAAATAGGAGAGGCTTAGGGTTTGTGAGGGTGAGGAGGTACTTTTATAGAATAAAGGCTCTTCCTTTTTTTACATATTTGCCCCTTCCTTTATTACATAATTACATTTGAGTCCCCCGAGTATTTATACAAGGTCTAAATACGGAGGCCCTAAGTATGGTATAAACATAATAAATATATGTGAGTGGGTTAGAGTTAAAAAATAATTATCTTGGTTAAAAACTGAGTTCATTAAACTCAACTCTTACGTCAAATCTCTTAGAGCATCATTAAATGAAGAGTCAAAAAGTTTACACCAGTAATAACAGTTATAAAAGACAATATTAATATTTTCCAATTGAAATGTCAATTTTTTGTGACATAACATGGAATGTCAGCAAGCATGTTTGCTATCAAATTTGGCAGTAGCTTCAAATATATTTTTAGTGATGAACATAAGTTTTCATTACCACTTAGTACTACGCTTTAGTGGTATTCCTCTTCACTTATAAGTGAGAGGTCTTAGGTTCAATCCTCGTCAAATGGCGAATTTGAACTACATTACAGTTAGCCTATTGTGAGGCTTAGCCAATTAGAGAACAAAATTTTAAAAAAAGTTTAAAAATGAATTTAAATTTGATAGCTTATGTGACACTTTGACATCTTTTAAAGTTGGGTTGTCCACCAAATATGTCAAATTAAATTATTATTTTATTACATTATTATCTTATCATATTAATGTTTTATATTTTAAATTTGACATAAATAATTCACAATAAATTCTTATCAGTTAGCACTATTAATGAAAATAATTGAACTAACGGATATTACAATTTCATATTTATTTTCTTTGCATTAGTAATGAAAGGAAATAAACTAACGAGTATAAAAATATTTTTTTAACAAACGATCTTATCTACACTAAAGAAGAAGGGATACACTTAGCCTCACAATAGGCTAGCACGAATGTGGTTCAAATTTGTCATTTGGCGATGATCGAACTTAAGATTTCTCACTTACAAGCGAAGAGGAATATCACTATACCGTAGTACTAAGTGGCATAAAATCATTTAAACATTGCATTGGTAATGAAAGCAAATGAAAAGACAATGTTTTTTTTAACAAACGATATTATCTACACTAAGAGACATAGGTGGTATTAGCCTCATAATGGATTAGTAATAATATAGTTTAAACTCTCATTTGGCCACTTAGTACTATGGTCTAGTGAAAATGTAATATTTTAAACCAATATTACAAAGTTAATAAAAAGAATTTAACAATTAATTAAAACTTATTTGAAGCTGCTGTCAAATTTGACAGTAACCATTTTTACTGCCAATTCAAGTCATGTTACATAGGAATTGACATTTCGGTAGGAAAACACTAATATTGTCTATTTTTACTGTTGTTACTGATGTAAACTTTTTTACATCTTCTTTAAAAATACTTTTACGTGCTAATTTTATTTTAATATATCTTTCATGTATGAGTTGTAACATTATAAAATACTGCTATTTGAAGGACATCTCGGACTAGTGTGGTGTTGTTGTGTTCTTTTAAAAAACTGATTCTACTATGCTGTGAAAATAAACAGCTGTAAAATAAAGTTGTTGAGTGATTGATCATTTTTTGTTTTGTTTTGTTTTGTTTTGTTGGTAAAAGGTCTTTTAACAAAAAAAATAATGTCTGAGTGTTTGGTAAATTTTTATATAAATTGCTGTGAATATGTTAAATGACGAAATATGATATGATATTTAATGTGATATAATAATTATCAAAGAGAATATTATAGGGGTAATGATTGTAATTTTGTAAAATATGTGGGGATATACTTGTCATTTGAAAATTTCATTAAATGAGCACTGATTATTATGCTTTGAAAAAAAAAAACACTTTTTTAGAAGCACAATAGACCCTGCTTCTGCTTTTCATGATTTTATATTATCATTGACAACAGTTTTAAAAAATACTTTTTTTTACCAAACACATTTGATATTTCGAATTTCTTAATAAGTGTTTTTTTTTTAAAGCACTACAATTCCAAACCAAACTATTAATTTATTTACCAATCTTTTATTTCTCTTTTACCAATTATATGTGACAACACATGCTTCACACTCCACTAAAAATTTGGTACCTAAGATATTTCGACATGGACTCGCACGATCGAGACCTTACCACCCAAATTTTACAAATAATCATTCGTACTTTGGAAAGGTTGTCAGATAATGCTATGAACTGTGTGTCATCACATGCTCCTCCATTCTATGATCTCAACACAATCTTTTACGCTTGGAGAGTTCATTCTAATTTCCATATATATATATCATAAACTGAAAATTTAAAACATACTAGATTACAACAACCAAAATCCAGAAAGATTTTATTCAACAAGTACGTTGTTTTTATCACCCAAAAAAATAATTATACATGAAATTATTACACATATGGACACGGAAGACATACATGATACATCCGCAGAAAACTAAGAAAACTCCAACCAGCTCTAAAGTTCGAAACCAAAATCCACCATAAGGCTCAAGTTCTTCATGGGGGTTTTGGATCATGATCCGGATTTGCTCCTACCCCTGAATAATCATTGGTTTCCAGCTCCATCCGCCCCTCCACAAATCCTTCTCCCAAATCCAGGACACCTTCATCCAGCAAATTCTGAATAACAATAGAAAACTCAAATTAATTTGTGCACTAAATATATTTTGGATTTTTAGTCAAAATAATATCTGAGATTAGCATAACTCCTCATTTTGGTCTCTGAAATTTAAAATTGATAGAAGTGGTCTCTAAGATTTATCATTTTGGTCATTCCGTAAAAAAATCTCTTTTAAACCGAGGGTATTTTGTCAAATCAACCTCTCTATTTGAACTGACGTTTTCTTCAAGTTAATGGAGGATAGAATAATCATAATAATTAATGGTGGACAATTTCAATGACTATTTTTATCGATTTTAAATCTTAATGATCAAAGTGAGAAGTTATGACAATCTTATAGATCATTTTAACTAAAAAAAACCATATATTTTCTAGGAAAAATAAAACAAGAACTAGAGGAATAATTACCTGACTCAGTAGGTCTTCCTTATTTATCTTCTGGCTTCCTATATGATCGATTCCTTAAGAAAAGAAACATAAATATCATTCGCAGAGCATCCTTGTTCTAATTTTTTCATTTTTTTAAAATAATACAAATGAATAACAAAAGGCTTACTTGTCGTAGGAGCAATAGCAATTGACGAGAAGACATACGTGAAACATAGAAAGAGAACTAGTTGTGTCATAAAATTACACTTGTGCGCCATGCCTGTGCTTCGTATGAATCACTCCATGGATCTACGCAGTAGACAGGAAGAAAAAGGACGGAGGCAGAGGGTGAGTGATGATGGCAATTGGCACGAGGAAACATGTGGAAGTAGTTGGCGTTTTATATTAAGATAAGAAGGACAAGTTGAATATGCAAAAGCCAACATGTAACCAATAAGAATATTTCTCCTAAAGTCAACTTGATTAATTATTTATGGGGGGTAATCAACTTACATTTCGTTTGTGCGTTAGTTCCACTACCACATATTATCCACTGTATTTCATTTGTGTTAATCTTCAGCATATTCTTTGTTGATAGAACATAATTGAAGATCCAAAGTTGGAGGATGATTCTCTCTCATTCTATTCTCTTTTTCCTTTTCTTTCTTTCTAGTTGAACGATTACGATTAGGTCATATCAATATCTTATATTATTATTTTTTTTACAAAGACAATAAGACAAAATGTCACAACCCGTCTCGGAATTTACCCAACAAAAGGGTATTTTCGTAAATTTTTACTTTGGGCTAGATATTTTGAAATGGGTTTGCTTTTGATCTTAATTGTTGTGCCCAAGAGGGGCCCACCCTCTAATTTTGTCCCCGGCCCAATTCCACTTTCCTTCTCTTCTCTCTAAGTTCCTGGTCATCTCTCTCTCTCTCTCTCTCTCTCACTTTAAACTCTTTCTCAAAATAGTTCACTCTTCCCTCAGCCCTCTCATAGCTCACTCTCATCCTCTCTTCTCCCGAGTTTCACACACATGGCACCATACTCACACACACCAACCTTCTCTCCCTTGGACCTCCTTACCTCCCTCATTCCTCTTCTCCCTCTGCAAACTAGGGTTGTTGCACCATGGAAACCAGTGCTAAACCTTGGTGAAATCCGGCGAGCATCAACCTCTGATTAGGTGAGCCTCGGAGTCCCTTTCTCTGTCTTAAAGGTTGTTTACCTTGATTTATAAAGTATGTATACCTGTTGTAAGTGAGGGCTTAACTTGAAAACAACTCGAAGGGATTTTCCCCAGATTCTGGTGTGGAATCCCGTGACTTCCAGGCCGTTTTCCGGCCAACTCCGGCCATGGCTGGACCAAAATTTGGTATCGTTCTCTTCCCCTACTCCATAGCTTTAAATCCATGTATCGCATGACTTGTGTTGGTCGAATTTTGGGGTTGATCGGAACTGGGAATGCTCCGGCATTCTTCTCTGTCGAAAACGGCCAACCCGGCTTGAAATGGGTCAATCCGACTTGATGTTCATAACCTAGTTTCGAACTCAGTCCAAAACCTAGCTCCGGGCCCAACCTTTTAGCCTGGGCCCAACCCAACTTAGTTGACCCGACCCAAACCCACTGAACCCAAGGCCTTCGGCCCACTGAGCCCAACCCAAGCTTTGGCCCAACCCATTGACCGTGATTGTTGATCGACCCGACCTGGATGAAATATTTTGTTAAGGAATATTCCGTCAGGGAATATTCTGTTAGGGAATATTATTCTCTGGAATATTCTATTCCTGGAATATTATTTGTGTTGACTTTTACGAAATTTGCTCGGGACCTCTCTTAGGGTAATTTGACGTCCTGAATCCATTTTCGATGTCCATTTTCTGAAATTCAATCGTTATGATAGAGTTTTATTAATTGGACTCTTTATGTGCTTAGGTGCATTTATTGCGGCGTTTCCGTCTTCGCTAGTTTGAACGGCTCTTCGACGACGAAGTATCTGTGAGTGGACCTATTCTAAAATGCATATTTTACTATTAGAAATGCATACATGAAAAGCATGATTTTATGTCTATGTTTTATGAAACGTTTATGAGTAAATTGGTTTCACGCTTTATGAATTATCATGCTTATTCGACTTTACGTTCTTTGTGGTATATATGATTGATGACTATATACCTACTTATGAACATGGTTTTACGATATGACGTTATAGTTACTGAGCTCTGATTTGAGATAGATAGATATATGTATTAGAAACATTATGTTAATGTTTTCATGTGCTTACTTAGTGATTACTCATACGATACTGCCAACGGGCAAATGATACTACATTGGCTTCGACCGAGCGTGTGTAGGTGGCTTCGGCGTGAAGATACTTATATTGGCTTTGGCAGGGCGTTTGGTTGGTGGCTTCGGTCGGAAGATATTTATATTGGCTTTGGCCAGGCGTTTGGTTGGTGGCTTTGGTCGGAAGATACTTATATATTGGCTTCGGCCGGAAGATATTTATATTTGGCTTCGGTCGGGTGATGTAGTGGCTTCGGTTGGAAGATATATATATATATATATATATATTTGGCTTTGGCCGGGAGATGTAGTGCCTTCGGGTGAAGGAAGTTATATGTTTGTGTGTGTGTGTGTGTGTGTGTGTATATATATATTTTATGGCATTCTAGGGTTTTCCGAAAACCTATTACATATTATACTATTGAGTTTTCATGAACTTTGGGGGTTAGTACATTGATGAATAACCGTTTCAATATTACTTATATATCAACTTGGTTCATTCATGTTTTTGTTTTGTGCCCCCTCAAGACTTAGAATCAAGGCTTATAATCCTGACGTCAAGGCGCTCCCGCATCGGCATCTTCGAGTCCTCTCGGTGTAGGACCCCATCTCTTTGTTCATTCAATTTTATATTATTCCTTTTTAGTGTCTCAGATTAGTTTGTATGCTCTGAACATGTCCCACAATTGCATATTCATTATAATTAAATATACAAGTTTCATTTATGTCAGATAATTGTTTCTAAGTTCTCATGCATCCTAATATGGCTTTGTCACCTTAGGGTGTCGGCCAACACGTGCCTACCCTGGTGTTTGGAGTATATCAGGGTCGGACATGTCACAAAAAGTAAAGTGTGAGAGAAGGGAAGGGAAGGAGATGAGAATAGGGGAGAATCCTACTCCTATTTAGATTCACTTTTAAGTCTAGCACATCTATCAGGACCAGGATATATTTTAATCAGGGGCGATTTTCAGTTTACTATACTGGAGTATCGTGGTTTTCAAATTTTCATCTATGTAGGCACCATGCCATCAGTTAACTGAGCTTCTAACATAAATACTAACATATTTATGAAAGTGTCACTCAATCCTCACTTTAGCATAGTAAACTGAGAATTACCCTTTAATTTGTTTTTGGAAGACTTGCTACGTGATGTATTATTTCACGTGTTAAGATGATAAGTGACAAGGTTCATACAACCCTATTTCAGGGTATTTTAATAAAAAAAAACCAAATACATGTATTATAATTTTAGTGGAATAGTATCACCATGTGATGATGTTCTATGAACACCAAAAATGATCTCCTATCTAGATAAGAATGTAAAATTGACGCAACGTGACAAAGAGAAGATCAATCAACGTTAATGTTCAGAACAAGAGGTCTGGAAACCATAAAGTATGAGAAAATCTCCAAGTTTATTAAATGATAATTGATAAGATTAGGGACGAAGTAAAAAATAACTAAGGGGGCACCTTAAAAAATTTTAACTCATTTTTGTGTCAAATAAAGCTATTTTTTTTTACAAATGCTGAAAAAATTGGTTACAAAATGACTTTACTCTATTGTCTCATTTCATCTTTAATTATTGTCTGAGTGTATCCCAAAATGTCTATATTTCAATTTATTATTCATACGTCATCCTTAAAAACCAAAAACTATTAAGAAATTTATTTGTAGTAAAGAAAATGGACAACACGGTTTTGCAAAGAAACACTAAAATGACTATTATTTAATCTAACGGGTCATATGGTTTCATATTTTGGTGATTCGTGGATACTTGATCTTTGAGAGAGGACCTAAAAGATAGACGGTTCGGATTGTTACAATACATTATGAAGTAGGCCTTACCAAATGAATATCAAAATGTGTGTCAAAAAATGTCGCCCAAGCCTGATCACTCATTAACAAAGTATCTTAAACGTCCTCAAAACTTTAAAATGCTATAAGAAATAAGCACGTTAATTTACAAATTAAATGATGTGTCACCAATAAGAAATAAACATGCTAATCAACATTTAAGTAATAATCTAATTATCAATAACCGCATCAGTTAGTTTATAAGATTTGATAAATTTGTCTCCTTAGCATTATCCTTAAAACACTGTAATGATGGAACGTGTTCAGGATTTTCATGCACTCAATACATGATATATATATATATGTATGTATGTATAAGGAGTGCATGCCAGAGGTCAAAAAGGAGTACCAAACTCACTAGTGTGGAAACCAATCTCATTCGATCGCTTTATTTTGGGTGAGATCTCATTTGATCTCTTATTAGGAAGAGAGAGAAAAAGAAGCTGATAAGGTTTAGGTGGCTCTCCCTAAAACTGGTAGCGGATGTCTGTAATTGTCTATTATCGTGGGAGGCAGATTGTCTGTACTCCTGTCTGAGTGCCCTTCTTATTCTCTTTTATTTTTTGCGATCACGGTTAAGGTACGTCAATATTTTATATTAATTTTTTATAAAGATAATAAGACAAGAAAAAAAAAGAATATAAAATATTGACCTGACTTAACCGTGATTGTACAAATAGAAAAAGATAAGAAGAGTATCTAAACAAGAGGGTAGACAATCTACCTCCATTATTGTGACCATGCATTAATGTATGAGTCGATCTCCATCACTGGGGCCAACAGCCACAAACCCTAAGTCAGTGAGTAAGTGGGATCTTAACCCTAATGACAAACGAACTTGCCGACGTTGCCATATGCGACAATGGAACAAAGTCGAAAGTAAGACGTCTTTCCACCGTCCAAGCTCTCCAAACTTCCCAAGAGGTCCATCAATTGTAGTCACGGAGATTCCTTACATTATTCAGTGGCATATCGATAATATTCTTTTTTATCAATCATAATGTTAATAAGTTAAATTATTAAATATTAGGAGAGGAAGTTTGATGAGGGCAGAATCTGCACACGTTACTATTTTCGTACTCTTTCTTGCAGAACCTAAGTCTCAATTGAATTTTTATCACTCTGCTACACACCAACAGCACTACCACTGTTCTAAAGTGTCATATGCCAATAATAATAATATTGAAAACAAAAACAAACATGTTCAAATAATTCACAAATGAACTTTTGTAAGAA